CTAAACGTGATATCATCTCGCAAAGCAGCTATAAAGTAGCGTCTCAAATTTTGCAAAATTCAACGAAGTACATGCGGCGCATTCTGGGTGAGATCAGAGCGAAGGCATGCCAAAGAATACAGTTTTACTTACATTACATTTATTTCCGTTATTCATCTGATACGAAACAGAGAAACGGGCCATGATCTGGAACCATTCAGAAGTTGTCACCGTGTTCTTCCAGTCTGCTCCCGCGAACATCTTGAAATCATCTTCCCATCACACTCGTAGTCGCCCAACTGTCCACTTGCGCTTTCTGGCTTCGACGACAGCGTCTTTTAGTTTGGTCCTTGCTCGTATTGCTACGCTCGATACCTTATCGCGAAGTCGGAGGTCTAACATTTGGCGCTCCATTCGTCGTTGGCATTTTCTTATACGATCCTCTGCTGCTTTTGTTAGGGCCCACGTTTCACATCCATACAGTAGAGTTGGTATCACACATGTGTGGAAGAAGCGTCGTTTGGTCATCAGTGGCGTCATTCTGCTTTTCAATAGGGCTCGAACTCTTTCTGTTGATGCTCCACGCAGCGCTGATTCTCCGGCTGATTTCTTGTCCACGATCCTGAGGGAAACATATGAGTTGGCCCAAATACACGAAGGAAGATACCAGCTCAAGTTTCTTCTTCAATGGGTCTTGGTGACTGTCCTTTAGGGTTGCTGGACATCCATTTTGTTTTGTGGGGACTCTATCAAGTGAAACTCTTGAAAACGCACAAAGGGGCAGTTCTGTGTTAAGTCCTATTTTCAGTTGAAAAATGTAATTGTCAGAAGAAGAAGGAACAAATATCTTGTAGAAACAAACCGTCTCTTCGACACCCTTCGTGAGCTTATGGAACATTACCAAAAAACTTGCGGCAAGCTTAACAAGGTGTTATTTTTAAAAATTCTACGCAACTGATCGCTGCTTTTATAAATCATGTGATTGCCACATTGTTGAAAAAAAGGAATCCGTACAAATGCGATTTCAGTTCACGTTCGCTCTAACGAATCCAATCAAGTTACAACCATGGGAGTTCCAGCACTCTGATGTAAAACAAGGTAACCTGCTAGGTCAGGGTGCGTTCGGTGAAGTCCGGGCGGGAACTTTGACATTGAAGACCGGTGAAGTTGTAGATGTGGCCATAAAAGTTGTAAGTTTCGAATTCTACAATATATATGTAGCTGTCAGTTACAATGGCGTCATTGCACGACGCGCTGTCGGTGTCACGGGAGGACGTCCTCGTATTACTTCAGACAAAAGGGTCATCCGACTTATGTAAAGCAAAAATCAAGGAGATGATGAAAGAAGCTCGTCTCATGCGTAACTTCAAACACAAAAACATTGTTCGTATTTATGGCGTTGCGGTGGACGAACAACCACTTTACATCATCCTCGAATTAGTGACCGGTAAGGGCATCAAACTCGTCGCATGTCATGCAATTTATACTAAACCTATTGCGTTGTGGTTTGCTGCATATCAGTGTTTTTTTTATCAGTGGTGTTGTAGCAGCTCCACTATCTGCCATTTTTTATTAGCTTATTTCAATAATTGCAATGTATTTATATTGAAAACAGACGGAGGTGGTGTAGAGGTTGGTGGTGCCTCTGCTCTGTGCACCGCATCGCACCGAAGTCCTCTAATCTCATTTTGGCCAGCTTAGCTTCCATCCTTCCTGACCCAACTAGTTGGTAGCAGACATTTCTGATAAAACACTGATCAATACATCGAGTGGGCCCCGCTTACAGTATCCAAACTTACGCAATGAAAATAGGATGCATGACGTACCCCAAAAAGCGACTGATAAAGCCAAAATGCTTTATCATTGTGTTGTATATAAAGGGTGGCCGAAAAGTATAGGACGTCATGTTTTTGTGTGAAGAAGCCG